AAGGCAACACCTGTAGTCGCCGTCACCAATCTCATCTTCTGATGCAGTTTTACAGCTCTCTTACACATCTCAAACTTTTATCTGTGTTGCAGAGCGTGCTTTGCAACACCTTCTAATTCACACCTAGCCTCGTATCCTCCTCTGTGGGTGTTGCAATAGGCGAAAGTGGGGATAAGCCAAGAGTCTAGTCATGGGATGGTTCATTTTATGGGATCAACTTGGCTGGATGAAGGACCACCTGGAAACCTGGCAAAGTGCTACGCTGGGTGCAGCTGTGAGGGTGCTTCCAAATGACAGGAGCCAGTGAGTCTGTGTCCACAAGGTGGGAAGACCTGGCCTTGACGTGGGCTGGGGGTCTGGAAAGTGTCAACGAGAAGCTGAGTTTTTGGCTGTCATGCAGAGAGAGCTGGAACACACTCAACTTCTGTCTGGGTTGTCAGCTGCTGGCCTGTGGACTCCAGGACCATACCTGTGGCCCCCTTGCTGGCACACAGGCCTTTCTGCCTTGAACTGAGACCCACACCACTTACTGGCTTTTCTGGGACTGAGGCCCTTGGGCTTGGATGGAGCCACCCTCCAGGTAGCCCAGACTCTCCCACCTGCACATGACCTCTTGTGGGATTTCTCAGCTGCCACAATCATGAACTAGCCCAGCTAATAAATGCTCCTATATAGACTTATAGGCATATCCTAGCAATTCTTTATCTCTAGAGAACTTTGACTAATACAAATTAAATGAAATTAATTTGAACAACCTAATGGCTTCAGGGCTGAAGGAATCTCTGGAACACATGCTGGTCACTGCTTGTTTGCTCAACTCAGTTTATTAGGGTACCCTATTGTTGGGGCTCCCTTGCCCTGGGCAGGTTCTAGGGACTGAAGGCGATGGTGGAAGCCTGGGGTGGAAGTTGACAGAAGCAAGGTATTCCCACAGAAGTCTCCCATCCATCCTGGCCCTGCACACCCAGCAGCTCCTTGCTCCCTGGTGCCAGCTCAGCCCCACGGGCCCAGCTCTGTCCGACATCAAGCGCTGTCACTTACTGTAGGGTGGAAATGTCTTCCTGCTTTGGCTATCTCTGCAATGCCTCACAATCTCATTTGGTTTCTTAGCTCTTCTAATACCAGGATAACCAAATGACTATATATGGTTCTCTGTCTTTGAAAGAGGGGGTTCCCATTCCTAGCTGGAACTTGCCTGACACAGATAACATGTATGACATTCTTCTGGGTCTGGGCACTGTATTATGTCAGCTCAGGCTCACACAGCAAAATGCCATAGACTTGTGACTTAAAGAACAGAAATTCATCCTCCCGTAGTTCTGGCGGCTGGGAAGTCCAAGATCAAGCTGCCACTCAGTTCCTTGTGAGGGCTCTCTTCCTGGCTTGCAGGTGGCACCTCCTGCCGTGTTCTCACAGGGCCTTTATTCAGTAGTTGCACATGAAGCCAGACCTAACTTTCTCTCGCTCTCGCTCTCCTCACAGGGCCACCAGTCCTATCAGACTAGGACCCCACCCTTACGACCTCAGTTAACCTAATTCCAAAAAGCCCTGTCTCCAAATGCAGTCACATTGGGGTTGGGGCTTCAACATGTGAATTTTGAAGGGCACACTTCAGTCCACAGCAGGCACTACAAGGTTCTGGAGATTATCCTGACATATTGTATTCTAAGCACGTGGACCTGAGCTTTGCTTGCCTTAAAGACTCTCATTATTTGTAGCCTTCCAAGACCAGATCCCAAAGTCCTCTCCACATGATCTCTGACACTTCCTCATCAGTTTCAGAATTTAACTTTCCCCACATGTGTCAGAGTTCTTCTTGACTTGATCTTGGACTTCCCAGCCACCAGAACTATGGGAGGATGAATTTCTGTTCTTTAAGTCACCCATTGTGGGGAGCGACCCGAACTTAGACTAAGTTGCTGGAATTAGGACTTATTCTATGCATCTGCTCTCCCACAATATGGCGTTGGGAGAGAAGAAAACAGCTTTTACACAGCTGCCTCCAGTTCAACCAATAAACTGTAGGACTTGCTCCTGATTGGAGGAGAGCAGCGTACTCAGCGTGTGGGCAGCCGAGTTAGGATTGGCGGAGGAGGACTATAAAGGAGGAGAGAGACGGCATGCACCAGGAACATCTAAGGGGAACATCTGAGGGAACACCTGTGCAGCCCCCGAGAGAGCCGGCCGGCGGTGTGCCGCTCCCCCGCGGAAGTGGGGAATGTGGCCAGGGGGAACTGCCCTTCCACGGAGGTGGAAGGGATAGTAGCCAACCCGGGAAGAACCAGCAGCAAACCCGGGGAGGGCCGAGCAGACGAAAGAACAGCGCAGGGTCCTGTGTCGTTCCTCCGCGAAGAGGGGGAGCGACAACCCATCTGGCATTCTGCTATGTGAGCCTGAGCTGACATAATACAGTGCCCAGACCCAAAAGAATGTCCTAGAACACGGTGCCCAGCTACCTTAGTTTATAAATGTGCTCCTGGACCGAATGCTGGAATCATGAACGAACCAGCCAGAGAACACGAAAAAGTTACAAATTGTTCTGTAGTTGTAGACTACCCTAAGTGTGCAGAGCTGGGACCCTTTATGTCTTTGGAGTGTAGTAAAAACAGTTTTGCACTTGGAAAGACTGAGCATGGAAGAGAGGCGTCAGATAGCCCTCTGCATCTTCTAGGAGCCACAATGCTAATTACTGGGACAGAGAGCAGAGGATCTCTGTTGTTTGCTAAAGGTCTCACCAACCCTTCATGCAACAAGAACAAGAACTGAACCTGAGTCCAGGAGTCTAGAGATTGCAATCCAGCAAAGCAGACAGCTATATGAACAGATGATTAATATAATAGATAAGAGATGGTGTCTTGACACTGATACTGACACGGCCCAGGATGTGACCATGCGAGTTGGTTTACATGTAGTAGAAGGGAGGCACAGCTGGCCACCTTCTCATGGCGGCGGGCGGCGGCAGCAGCGTGGGCGTGGTGCGGTGCGGAGGTGACCGACCTGAGCTGCGAGACTGGTGAGCATGCGCCCAGCCCCGGCCCCCCGGCCTCCGCATGCCCCCGAGCAGGCACCCCTGAAGCTGTGCGGACGCTGAGTGTGCCCCGGTAGGGACCCTGGTGAAGTATTTCCTGAGCCAGAGCATGCTCCGGAGTTCCTGGGACCAAATACTCACTGCCCTTGGGCAGCGATACCTGAACGCCTATAGCAAGAAAGTCTGGGGACATAGTGCACAGGGAGGTGACCCCTGACCAGAGGCTCCTGTTCCATCGAATCCTGACCAAGACTTACAGGATGCCCTGGGCAGAGCGGCTGTCTCCTGCCAATGCTGCTCACTCAATGTACACCCTGGAGGACTCTACTGTGGACCCACAGAATCCGACCATGCCCACCTTCCATTGGAACATCAACCACACCCAGCTGATATGGTGGAGGAGCCATGTGTTTACTGTGGGAACTCAAACAACACTGGCCGGACTGAAATCCGCCCAGGAGCCTGGGTCTCCAGAGCTCTTCAGGAGTTTGGTCTTGCCCGGTTCAAAAGCAATGTGACCGAGACTATGAAGGGTTTTAAGTACGTCTTGGCCAAGCAGCAAGGTGAGGCCCCTTCCAAGACACTTGTTGAGACAGCCAAGAAAGCCATGGAGAAGGCAAAGAAGTCGGCACTGGCAGCCGCAGAGAAGGCCAAGGACCTGGCTGACAAGTAGGCCCCAAGCAGGAGCAGCAACAGCAGCAGTTCATGTAGCCAGTTTAGTCCCGCTGTGACTCAGGCCCTCCCCAGCGCTGCCACTGCACCCCAGACAGTGCGCTTGGCACCCTGCCTGCTCCTCACTGTACTTTATTATTAAAAATTCACTTTCAGCCCTCTCTACTGTTTGGGTGGTGGGTTGGGAGTGGGTGTCATCCCCATCTGAGTCAGGACTGCTCATGTCCACTTTGGGCAGCTGATAGCAGAGGTGCAGGGATATGTGGCTTCTTGCCAAGAGTCCCAGATCGTGCAGGTGGAGGGGTAACAGATGGTAGACTGTAAGCCCCGTGAGGGCAGGGCTCAGTTTTGTCCTCTGATGTGTCCCAATGACCTGGAACAATATCTGCATGTATCAGGCACTCAATAAATATTTGTTGAATTAAAAAAAAATGTAGTGGGAGTGAGAAGAAGCAGGGTGTTAGAAATTAGGAGGGCTTCAAGCCTATGGTCTTAGAAGGTCTGGGGTCACTGGGGTGTCCCTAAATGTCAGCAGCGAAGGGGGAAAGGGCAGAGGAGACAGGTGCCATGAACTGCAAAGGGAGATAAGATTTTGCACAAATGACACAGCTCGGTGATCCGGCCTTTGCGAAGGGGAGTCAGGATAATACACAGCTTTCAGGAGTCACAGAGTAGGAGGGAATGGTCTGGTTCCACTGGAGTAAGATACAGAGAAAAGTGTATCCTAAGTTGTGCGACAGATGGAAATGGCGAGGAGCTGGGGAGGAGCTCTAGGGAGAAGTGAAGGGAAGGGAGGTCTGTGGTCCTTGGAGCTGCTGGGCTGGGAGTGCACAGCAGATGCTGGAGGGCCCAGTCCCTGAGCTTGTGATTAGCACGTCTGGAGCAGGGCGTGAGAAACTGCATTCCTAAGAAGCTCGCAGGTCAGGGTGATGCTGGCCCTGTGACCTTCTCTGACAGCCACTTACTGGGGGCATGGTCTTTCCTGGAGGAAGCCCCATTGCCTGTGGGGTGCCCGATTAGGTTAGAAATCTTTTCAGCATGAAGACTTGCTTGGGTCATGCCTCATCACACACGTCTTAGAACTGTCTTCCCAAACCACAGAGTGTAAAGGAAGCCGCAGATTCTATTCAAATCCAAATGCACCAGGAATAAATAAGATGTTGGGACTGCTCTGGCTGCTGACTTTAATGTTTTCTACAATACAAACTGCAACAAGAAAGACCAAATGATAGAAAAACTTAACTGGAGATGGAAAGAACAGACTTTTCCCCTCCAATGCATAGTACAGGAAATAGCTTACCTGTGATGGAGACTGGCCATTAGTTTTCTTTAGTTTAATTTCTCTGCCTGCAACAACAAAAAAGTAGAAAATTGGGGTCAACACATTGTCTTCTTTTCACGGTCAGGTTGACCGTGAACACTGACAGTGGACGGTGTTTGCTGAGGGGTGCTGGGCAGCAGTGTGCGGGAGGGCGTTCCTGCCGGAAGTGAGCCCAGGGGGCAAGAGGTTTGAAATTTGTCAGCTTTGCCTGATACTCAGAAACCAATCCACAGTTAACCAAGTGTTCCATTTAAAAATGTAAACTGTTAGTCACACACTGGGCACATTAGACTTGTTCAGTAACCCACAGCAATCTATGGTGTGTTGGTGTCCTCCTAAAAGCCATTTATTGAAGTCTAATCCCCAAAGTGATGGTATTAGAAGCTGCAGCTTTTGGGAGGTGAGCAGATCATGCACGAGGCAACGGCTCATGAGTGGGATTAGTGCCCCTAAAAGGAGGCCCGTGAGGGCTGCTAGCTTCCTGCCGCCATGTGAACACAGAGAGAAGGAAGCATCTCTCAACTTGACCGTGAGCCCTCATCCAACACTGAATCTGCCAATGCCTCGATCTCTTCTCTGCCCATAGAACTGTGAGCACTGAAGTTCCACTGTTTGCAAACCACTCCCTTTATGGCGATTTGTTACAGCAGCCGGAGGAGACTAAGACGTGCTGGCTGCTGTTTCAGTTGATAAACTCTGCATAACAACGTGCTTCTTCACTGATGGGTGAAGTTTTACTAAGCAAAATAAGAAAAAAAAATGTGCTCTGTGAGGACATATATGCATATATTCTTATTTATAATATGTAATTTAGAAAAAATTTGCTCAGAATGAAAATGATATATAGAACTCAAAGTAAAGCTATTGTTCAGATTTTTACCAACTTCTCTGTGATTATCAGAATAATTCATCACATACACAAATCTTATTCTATGCCCAAGTAAACTACACATAGTGATAACAAACTCTGCCTTAAATCTGTCACAATATAGGAACAGTTAAACCTTTGATTGATTCAATTTCATATTCTTTTAGCAACCTCTTTTCAGTTATTCAATAGCTCCTTGAAATCTAGTAAATTGCTTAATTGTCACATGGTTCTGCTATTTTTCAATTTTACCACAGTACTTATACTTCCATTCAAATATTACTTGGGAAGGAAGACGTGAGAAAGGCAAAGTCCATGCCCATTGGGAACTCACCACCTTGTTGGGAAGGCCAGGAATCCAGGAGCACTTATGAATACATAGACTACTATTCAGAGTACAGAAAAAGAGTGCCTAGCAGGGAATACCAGTGAAATACCGAGGAGGTTCAGGACTGGGAGAGATGTAACTGGGCAGCTTTGAGAAGTTGATGGCACCTGAGCTGGGCATCAGAGGACAATGGATTGCGGCAGATGGAAAATAAGTGATGGCCAGGTGCAGTGGAAGGCCTTTTATGCAGCGGGAATGTGACAAAGAGAAGGCAGGGAAGGACGGAGCAATGCTTATGTAGTCAGCAAATACTTCTGGACTCTTCATGTATGGAAAGCCCTGCACCAGGTACCAGGAAGCTGCAGGCAGTGACTGGGATGCCACGTGGTACATCTCACAGCGTGACAGCCTACATGGAGATGAGTGAAATGTACTCAGTGCCCAAAGAGCAAAGCTCTGAGGAGACCTAGGAGGGATAAGGATTTACTTGGAGAACACTAATTCACTCCAAGGAAGAAGACAGAACCATGAGGTTTGAATATCTACATTATCCGGTTAAAGGGTCTGGGCAGAAGAAACACATAGAGCCACAAAAATTTGAGGTCCAGGACCTGTAGTGCCACAGCTTGAGAGAACAGCAGTCCAAGATCATCAAATGCTGTGTAGGGGACTGAGATCATTCTTAAAATAGGATACTTTTTTCATGGCGGGAGGGGCTTCAACTATATTGAATTTCCTGTAGAACAAATCCCCAGTCTGCTCCTCTCCTCCTTGTCTCCAAGGCATCAGATCCCTATCTTGTGTATGAGTGTTGCAACTTTTCTGAACAGAAGACCTTAGCAATTAGCTACTCCAAAGTCAAATTCTGAAAGAGGAAGAAACGGAGGGTGTGAATGTCAGTGGTGTCCCCGAGGTCACATGGCGAGTCCGCAGTGAGGATCCAGGACTTGGTTCCTGTCCCTATCCCAGAGTTCTCGCCTATGAATTGGTAACTTCACACAACCCTTGTTTTTACTTTGAATGAGGTACCTACTGCCTGCCAGAAGCTACCCTTGGATGTCTGTACTTTAGTCAGAAGCTTCCGGGAACCTAGGATGTGCCATGCAGGGTGCTAAGCACTGACAGAATGAAAGGTCGAAGAACGCTCTCCTTGTCCCACCATGGAAACAGCACATCATTGGCTGACTGGATATCATAGCTAGTGATAAGAGCCTTTGTAGGAAACGAACTGGATGTGGTAATTTGGAGTTAAGGTGAGAATTCACTCAGAGTAGGGGAGAGACTCTGAGAGAATGACATTTAAACTGGGATCCAGAACATGAGATGGAGCCAGCCATGCAAAGAAACCAGCCATTTCTCTGTTAAAAACCCTTAAATGGTCCTGCACGGATCCTCAGCTAAGCACTCAAGGCCTTCCACAGCCTGGCACCGATGGCCTTCCTAGGTTATCTCTCACCCTCCTCTAGTTCATGCTTCTACAGTCTTTCCAGTCAACCAGATTTTCCCCTGTTCTGTAAGCATGGCGATGCTTTCCTGTTTCTATGCTTCTAGAAATATTATTTCTCCCAGCTGGCATGCTTCCATGACCATCAATATTTTGCAAAGTTCTACTCTTCATTCTTCAAAACTCATTTCACACACCACTTCCTTCAGGAAGTCTTAAAAAATTCAATTAAAGGTAATTACCTCATTTAAAAAATTCTAGAGAATTTTTAACTCTTGAAAAGTTCTGATCACCTTCTGCGTTAGATTAAAATAATTCAGTAATATCAGACTGTAAATTCTTAGTGGGGTTGGATCTTGCTTCATCATTATTTATCTCCATGATTTACCCAGAGCAAGTACGTGTGACATAGGTAGTGCGTCGCGTGTCTTTTAAAAATTTCACTTAAAATTTCAGCTGGGAAGCGGTCAGTCACTCCGCATCGGGGCTCAAGGAGAGCTCATCTGGTTACACTCAATGGATTTTTTTTTTTTTGACAGGCAGAGTGGACAGTGAGAGAGACAGAGAGAAAGGTCTTCCTTTGTCCGTTGGTTCACCCTGCAATAGCCGCTGCGGCTGGCGCACCATGCTGATCCGAAGGCAGGAGCCAGGTGCTTCTCCTGGTCTCCTATGGGGTGCAGGGCCCAAGCACTTGGGCCATCCTCCACTGCACTCCCTGGTCACAGCAGAGAGCTGGCCTGGAAGAGGGGCAACCGGGACAGAATCCGGTGCCCCGACTGGGACTAGAACCCGGTGTGCCGGTGCCGCTAGGTGGAGGATTAGCCTACTGAGCCGTGGTGCCGGCCTCAATGGATTTTCAAAACCAAAATTGGAAGCCCTGGATCTGAGGGTGGGGGTGGGGATGGTGGTGATGGTGGTGATGGTATCTGACGTTTGAACATCTATTGTGTGTTTGATACTTTATACCCACTACCTTATTTTCTTTCCAGGGACAGGGAGATCAAGCTTACTAGCACCACTTCACACAGAAGGGTTGGTGCAAGCTTAACTAACTTGCATGAGGTTACACAACCAAGAAATGGTGAGACAGGAAATAGGAATTTACGCTTTTTCATTTTTACCATGTAGACTTGTGTATGACAGACTCGTATATATGATTGAGACTATTATGACAGAGGCAGGCAGGAAATTTGGGATTCAGGAGGACAACTGGCTCATGTTTCCTACTCCCGAAGGGCCTCAGAGGCAGCAGCTTGACTGGCACCTCCAAATGCATGCTCAGAGCTACACGGACAGAACTGCAAGACACGGTTCACCATCCACCTTTAGACTTTAGCTCTATTTTTCTGTACTAAGTCACTTGCTGTTACTATGAGCTAAAACTTTGTTTTAAAGAATTATTTATGTAAAGAGAGAGAGGACGAGACAGAGAGAGATCTTCCATTTGCTGATTCACTCCCCAAATGGCCACAATGGCTGGAGCTGAGCTGATCTGAAGCCAGGAGCCAGGAGCTTCCTCCAAGTCTCCTATGTGGATGCAGGGGCCCAACTACTTGGGGCCATCTTTTGCTGCTTTCTCAGGCATACTAGCAGGGAGCTCGATTGAAATTTGAGCAGCTGGGACTTGAACCAGTGCCCCTGTGGGATACCAGCATTGCAGGTGGTGGCTTTACCCACTCTGCAACAGTGCCGGTCCCATGTGTTAAAATTTTTATCTCAAGAAAAGGAAAATTCTAACATTTTTGTGCATGTGTGCAATATTTCTAATTTGCACATGTGAGCACTTGAAATATCCAACTTTTACAATCCTATTCTATCACTATTTTACTACTTTAATATACTGAGAACCTCAACAACAGTCATCCAGGCCTTTCCAACTTAAACATGCAAGTATTTAGGGGAAATTATGGGGATCAGAGAGAGTGACTCTCATGTCCTGTGTAGTGACTCTACTGTTTGATCCTTAAGTACCTCTATCTTAGGAACCTTCAGAACTGAGATCTTGTGGGTTACATAATTTACATTGACACAAGGCAAGGCTGAAACACTAGGAGTTATTATTACGATGTCTCTGGTTCACCAGCCTGTGGCCCTGTCTTCTCTCATATTAGCAGCAAGAGTCTTATTGCCATGAACCCATCATTTTCTGCCCTAAAGCTGGCCAGCCATGCCCAAGTGACTGAGACCACATGAATTAACAGGAGGGATTTGTACATATCGGTTAAATTGTGCTTTACTCTCATTGTATCCAGAGGTTTGTAAAGGGTTTTGATGCATTGGTTAAGCTACTAGTTTTATCAGAGAGCAACTTTAAAAAGAACAATCAGATGGCTATTAACTGGCTGCGAATAAAGGTTAAAGTTAGAATCAGCATTTGCGAGGTGAG